ACATGTATTATCTCACTTAATCCCAATAGCTTAGCTCACCTCTGCAGCTACGACTCTTATCTCCATTTTACAAATGAAACAGAGGTGCAGAAAGGTAAGGTGACTCATACCAGAGTCAAACACCAAAAAGTGAATGGCAGACTGGGGCTTTAGCCTAGGGGTGTGTGTGTGTGTGTGTGTGTGTGTGTGTGACCAGAGGTTGACCAGTTCCCCTAATCACAGCATCTGGCATGGAGTCGGCATAAAGGTGAACGTGGGACAGCCCACCCAGCCAGCCACCCTCCCTATATCTACACCCTCTATTGTAGGTCTTACTGTGTGGAGGGATGTCCCCAGTGGGGGCCGGGCTTAGTGACCCTGCTGCTCTGTTCCCTGTTTTCTCTTCCTTGTGTGAAATAAGTTGTGCAAAGCCACATTTCAGTATATATTGATGTTCAGCAGCCCTGGGGCCTCAAGGTCCTTGCCTGAAGGCTGTCACTTGCAGGGAGGAGAAGGTTTAGCTGCACTGAAAAGCACCAGGGTGGCAGTACTGAGTGTCCCAGTCCAACTCTGGAGTGACAGAATACATGTGAGTTGCCAGGCCTGTGCAGGTGGACAGGTACACCCTGAGTGGCAGCCCCACAAGGGATTCTGGGAGCTGTGCTGTGCAGTCAGGGAAGTGAGAGCCCAGGGAATGTGCCAGGAAGAGAAGCTGGGCTCTGAGGGCCCACAGTGTGAGAGGGTCAGGCCCCTGAACAGATGGCAGGGATGTGGAGCTGCAAAGCATCATGGGAGTGTAAGGTGACACACAGGTGAAGGGACCCCAGGTTATGGGGCACCCAGAGCCAGGCTGAAGATACTTGCATTTATTAAATGTCCAGCAGAGCTGGCCCTGTGTGCAGTATTAATTATCATGTCATTGACTCCACCCTGTAAAATTCTTCCCATTTTACAGACTCAGGAAAGTATGACCATCTCCAATTCTGAATCCCTCTCTAACTGCTGCATAAGTTCAGGGATTGGCAGATTAATAGCCCAAGAGCCAGAGATATATTTTTCTAAATAAAGTTTTATTGGAACACAGCCTCACTCACTCCTTTACACACTTCTCATGACTGCTTTTTATGGTACAACAGCAGAGTGGAGTCGAGGTGGCACGGACTGAATGGCTCCCAGAGCCTCAATTGTTTCTTGTTTTGCCTGGTAAAGTTCACTGACTTGCTCTGTGGGCTTGGGCAAGACACTTGCCCCCTCTGAGCCTGCCTAGCCAACTTCTGAGGGTTGCAGTGAAGTACCGGGATGATGGCTGGGAACCTTTACTGTAAACTGTAAAGGGCGGAAGGGCAGTGCCCTTTTCCAGCCTGCTACTGGGTAGGCACTAGAAGTCCGCGAGTGAAGGAGAAGGCAGCACCACGTAGGCCTTCCCCCACCTGGCTGCAGGTGCTGCTGAGGCTGCAGGGTGGCGCGTCTGGGCCTGAGTTGCTGAATGTGTCCATGGCCGCTCACGCAGACTTGGCAGGTTTCAGCATAAATTAAAATTCTTGTGGGGAGTCACCTTATATGTGGTGCCACTTTACAGCCAGCTCATTACGATAATTTGCAAAGCTCTCTGGTGTGTAACTGGAGCCATTTGCTTCAGATTTGCTGGCTGTGACCTCATCCAGATTGCCCAGCCCTGTATTTGGTGAAACCTCAAGTTTTAGGGGCTGGTCCTCCTGAGTCTATCCTCAGGGTCATCCGAGTCTGACCTTTCTGGGGATAGATGGCTTCTCAAACAAGGCCTGCCTCCCTTCCCCAAGCCGGAGGAGAAATAGAAGAAATAAGTGTCCTCCTCATCCCTTTCCGGGTGCTTCCTGTAAGCTAGGCACCGTGCCAAGGGCATTGTATTTATAATCTCGCCTGTTCCCATAACCTTGTAAGGTAGGTGTCAGCACCATTTGACAGATAAGAAGACTGAGGCTTGATGAGGGAAGTAGACCAAATTCTTACCTAACTTCAGAAGTGCCAGTCCAGGCTTCCACTGTGGATTTGCTGTGTGACCAGGGAAGGTTCTTGCCCCCTCGGAGCCTCAGTTTATTTATTAATGAAATAGATACTCAGTCAGTTCCAGCTCTCGACGTTCTAACATTTCTTACCAACTTGTAAAAATGAACACGGGGCCCATCAGTCTCCAGTGAAGAGGAGCTTCATTTGCGTAGGAAAAGCCACCTCCTAAAGTCCACTCTTGGCCCCCTGTGGCACAGAGGGAAATCAGGCTGCTGGGTGCCAGCCCTTTTCTGGGGCACCCCCACTTCCTCAGGGCAGCAGGGCAGTCCGTGTGGCTCTCTCACTCCCTGGAGTCAGTGTGGGCAGGAAGGGGTCTCCCCATCTGGGCCTTGCTATGCCCTTGGAGCAGAGAGGCCAGACTCCAGCAGTGGGAGATGGTGCCCATGTTTTTCCTGACAGACGCCCTGTGCTAGGCAGCACCCGTATCTTTGTGGTGGTGATGGCATCTCTGGGCCACATGTCAGCCTCCTGGTTTAACCTTCCAGCCTTCAAGCAAGCAGGAAGCCCGGGCGAGAGTCTGGTATGGGCTTTGGGAGACTTTTCTGTGGGCCCTGTGACCTGCAGTTGCTGTATGACCTTGGTGGCCACTTGCCAGCTCTGGTGTTCAGTGTCCCTCTGCGAGGTTGGGATGTCACAGCTTCCCTTCAGGGCTCTGTGGCAGTACAGGGGAAAAGGGCTGGAATGGACTTGGAGCACCAACCCGTGCCAAACTGTGACGGGAGAGGCTTTCCCCCTAATCCGGCCTGTTTATCTATTGTAGAAAAACCTCTGACTTGTCTCCAGGCGGGAAACAGCTGATAATGACCGTTTCTTCCCACAGAGTTGATGGGTTCGACCTCAACTCAGCCTGTAACTCCCTGTGTGTACTTAGGAAACTGCTTAACCTCTCTGATCTTCCTTGGGGGTCCCAGTTAGAGATGCTTGTTTGGGGGGTCTATAGTTACTCATCAGTTGATTGAGAGGTAGCAGGACAGAGCTGGACCTTGAAATCTAAGACGTCTGGATTTGGGTTGTGGTCCTGCCTCTTACAGACCTCTGAGCCTGCACCGAGGCAGCTAATCTGTCCAAACCTTGGCCTTTCCTCATCTGGAGAATGGCTGTACTGGCCCTACCCTGGGATGGACCCTGGCCGAGTCAGGGCTTTGAAAACTCAAGGCTCCCACCGCTCATCCCGGGGCCCAAAGTCTTCCTTTCCTGCACACAGCTCCTACGTGTCCTCAAGGAAGGCTCAGAACTGCCCCCGCCCCGCCCAGCCCCCCCCAGGACTCTGGAGGAAGACCCTGGCGGAGCAGCCCTGAGTGATGATTAAGCGCGCTCTGCTCCAAATGCTATTAATGGTCATAAAATTATCCACAGTTTTCTGAGGCCCCGTCCCAAGGCTTGCCTCAATGGGACAATAAAATCACATGCAGAAACCATTTGGAAAAGGCGAGGACGGCCAAGCAGAGACGGAGTGAAACGAGCTGCAGCCTGCTCTCATTAACTCCAGCCATTCACATTTGTTACCAGGGATTTCTTTTTAATTAAAAAACAACCAAGTTATTAAAAAAAGAAGCCTGTGAGGGGCTGGCTGAGCAGCCGCCGAGGCCACGGAGCCAGCGTTCCCCACAGCAGGACGGGAAGGTGGCGTGGAGCAGATGCTCATCTGAGCCCCCCAACAGGCTGCCCGAGCCCCTTGACTGCCCGGGACCTCGAGAGCAGGGCAGTCTCCTCTGCACACTAATGCTTGGAGGAGAGTGTCCCTTCCCTGAGCTTGTTTTCTCCTCTGTCAAATGGGGACGCTGGCATGCATACCTCCCTCAGAGGGCAGTGGGACCTGGGTGTTGATCTCCTTGTCCTTAGCTTAAGCGGTTGGCTATGTTCTGGTCTTTTTTTTTCTCACCTTGATGCTTTATCTCAGCATTGACAGTGCCTGGATAACCCCTGGACCCCTTGATAAAATTTTATTGCATCTGAAGGGCACCTTTTAGGTCTCGAAGTGCAGTTTAACCTCAAGGATGCTTTCCATTCCACACGCACCTGTAGGTGCCAGCACTGTGCCAGGGCCTGTGCGGCTTCTGCTTTCCAAACCTCACGGTGTCCCTGGAGAACTGGTGTGACTGTCCCTTGTTGCTGAGGGGAGCAGAGGGTCAGCCACATGCAAGGATTTACCCAGTGGCATCGTGGGCTTCGGGCAGAAGTAAGGGTCACACTGTGGTCCAGAGGTCACTAAGTCCATGTCTTTACCTCCTCTGCATCACCCCCAGAGGTGACAGAGTAGAAAGCCCAAGATGTTCCAGGTTGACCATCCTCATCTATAGATGAGAAAGAGGCCCAGAGAGGGGAAGGAGCTCAGAGCAACTGTGCCTGACGTTTGTATTACTTTACGTAGTTTAGTCTCTTGCCTCAATTAGGCTTCCTAAAGACCTGTTGTCAGGCAAGGTTGGGCATTCAACAGGCTGCCAGGGAATGGGGGTGGAGGAGAATGATCACACATCACCTCTTTGCTGTGAAATGTGATTTGGGAAGCAGCACAGGTGGGGCTTTGGTACCAGGGACAGTAGTGCTGTTGGATCACATCTCCTCCTTGGCACACATGTGCTAGTACCCGCGGGGCCTCGGCCCCCCCATGCTAGCACAGGTGCAGCAGCCATGCAAGGATTGAGGTGCAAGCATCAGGAAGACAGGCTGTGAACTCCAAGACACCAGGGGTTTGTTCTGTTCACCAGTTTCCTCTGTTAGAATAGTGTCTGCTACACATTAAGTGCCCAGTGTTTGCATAATGGTCCTCTCCGCAGTGAAGCCTTGGCATCTGTGTTGGAGCTCTGGGGATTTTATTACTGGTCTTGCTGGTTGGGATTTTGATGAGGAAGGGCGGTGCCTCAGGTGGCTCCAGTGCTCCTTCCCGGCCGTAACTGATGCCCGCCCTCTCCCCGTGCCCTCCTGCAGGCTGTCGCCACTCACTTGTCTCCTCTCTCCCTGTGGTTTCTGCCTAGTGAATGGGAGCTATGGTCACTGCACCCCTGGCTCGGAGAAGGGTCTGCTGGATCTGGATCTTGCTGAGGGCCCCAGCCCCACCTGCCACCAGGGACTGTTTCTCCCTGCGGGAAGTCCGCCACCCCGGGGCCGCCCCCCAGCCTGCGAGAGGCTGCTGCATTTCCCCCACCCTAACAGGTACGTGCCCATCCCCACCTGTCCACCATTTCCTGTGGACAGTCCTTGAGGTCCAAGGATCAAGGGCCTCAGGATCTCACCTAGACGGCCTAACATGTGGGACATATAGGGAAACTGAGGCTCAGGAGGACCAGGGACAGGTCAGAGATGCCTGATCTCCAAATCAAGGTGCAGCAGTTTGGTTTCTCCTGAGACCTACTCCTTGCATTGCAGATGGCTGCTTTCTCAATGTCTCTTACAAGGTCACCCTTGATCTGTGTCCTAATCTCCTCTTCTTTTTGCAGGCGGTACCAGGGATTGTACTCAGGGGGACTCGACCACTGAACCACATCCCCAGCCCTATTTTGTATTTTATTTAGAGACAGGGTCTCACTGAGTTGCTTAGTGCCTTGCCGTTGCTGGGGCTGGTTTCACTTCGAGATCTTCCTGTCTCAGCCTCTCGAGTTGCTGGGATTACAGGCTGTGCCACCATGCCCAGCCTAATCTCCTCTTCCTACGAGGAGATTAACCTCACTTAGCCTTAATTACTTACTCAAAGGTCCTGTCTCCAAACACTGCCACACTGTGGGGTTGAACTCTGACATATGGATGTGGGTGGGCATAGTTCAGTTCCCAACATGCAACACACATCTTTTAGGGCTTTAAGCTGTGCATGGTTTACCAAGAGTCAAGTGCATTTATCTGCCTAATTATTCACAAGACTTCCTAGCAGTGCCCAGTTTCTCTAGGAAAATTCATTCTATGTTAGGTGGAAGCTGTGCTATCCTAGGGCGAGCTAAGGAAGGGGGTTTGTGTTTGTTTGACACAATAAAAAATATCATTTGTCATTTTGAATGTTATCTTGACAATGGAGGGCAAGGAGAGTCTGTATCCAATGTCCTACTCTGGAAAAGTCACTGCTACCAAAGTGACTTTGAGCTGGCACTTTTACAAAAAGAAAAGAGGGCCCAGGCCAGCACATACCCCAAATCCTGTTCCTTACCCACCACTGCTGGTACTATGCACTTGGGAAGCCTCTCAGTCTCAGGCCCCTTGGTCTGCCACCTGAGCGCCTCCCACAGCCACTTGCCAACCTTCTTGCCTCCAGGTTAACTCTCTAATGCTAACCAAATGGCTCCCTCTCAGCCAGAGACTGCATGTGCATGTTCTCCCACTGAAGTCCCTCTGTCCTAGGGTCCCATTGCAAATAAGCAACAGTCACAGGTTCTTCCTGTGGGCCATGTGCTCCGCTGAGTGCTGTGTAAGGACTGACTTCCCCAACCCACCATCACCATGTGGTGGGGAAACCGAGGCCAGAGGGCTATGTACATAGGCCAGCGGCATCTAGCCGGTTGTGAAGAGGTTTAAATAGCCTCAACGACATCCTGATGTTGTCATTCCTGTGCGTAAAGTGGCTGCCCCCACGGCCATGGTTAGAATGGTGCAGAAGTCTTCACTCCATACCTTACTGGCTCTCTGGGTGACCTCAGGCAAGAAGCTGAGCCTCCTTTCCTTAAAACAAGGTTAGAAATACAGAGTGAGGGGAGCTTGTGATCTGGCCCCGGCTGCCCACCCTCCTTGGCAGCCACACCAGCCTCTTGGCAGGCCCCACACACTCATATCTCAGGTTGTGACCCCCGAGCCCCATTCCCCACCTTGTTCTTTTTTTTTTTTTTTTTTTTTTAATACTGGGGATTGAACTCAAGGATATTTAACCACTCAGTTCAATTTATCCCCAGCCTTTTTTTTTTTCATTCCAATAGCTCAGTCCCAGAATGCTCAAGCTGCTCCTCTTTGCTGCTATTAATGATTAGCCTGATAACTGTTTCCAAAAGGATGCTCCAAACAGAGGCTTTCCTGCTGCCTTTCTCTGCCCAGCCCACCTGTGCCAGGCCCACGATGGCAACTCCCTACGCAGCATCCGTGCTTTGATATTTTTAAACTCCACAAGGTCCTCACAGTTAGGTCTTCAATACATGGAGCTTTCTGCTAGCACTGGGAGGGGGTGTGCATTTGCTGTCTGCCTCAGAATCAAAGCTCCTGGTTCTCCTGGGCACAGACTTGGCAGCAGACTCCTTGGGTGGGAAGAGAGTTTGCTGGTGAGGGAGGTGGAGGGTTACTCATTATAGCTGAGAAACAAACAGAAAATCCTCTGCCACACCTACATTCAAGGAGAGTGTCAGGTCAGTTGTACATAGGACATGAGAGATGGGCTCCTAGTCCAGGTATGGCATGGGTTTGCCACTGTGCGATGGTGGGCAAGCCTTGGGCCCTCTTGACTCCTCCATCTCTGCTGTGATGGAGTTGGAACCCGTACCCAGGGTCCCTAGCTCTGGATCCTCTTCTGCCCTGCACTTGGGGCTGGAACTGAGGGTGCTGCAGTTACAGGGAGCCAGAAGGGAGGGGCTGAAGCTGCAAGACCATCTTGGAAATAGAGGGACCACAGCAGTGCTGTAGCACAGTGATAATAGCATCATGCACCATGCCACCCACTTCCCAGAGGACTGCCACTTGCTCCTGGCAACTGCCCTCTGAGTGCTACATAGAGACTTAGTCCTTGTTTCATGGGTGACGAAACCGAGACTCAGATGCGGGGTGGAGGGGATCTCATGAGGTGTCCTAGTCAGACTTTAGGCACAAAAGTGGGCCTTTTGTTCTGCTGGCTGGCTAGAGGGGCTTTACCTTCCTGGCCCTCTCCTTTTTGGAGTCCTCTGGTGACAGGCAGGTCCTGGTGTCTCTACCTGTATCTTACCTGGTCCCCAGCCCAGGATGGTAGGCCCTATGGTGCGAGAATCCTTTTGTCTTCCTGAATTGGGCCTCCTGTGAAGTGGGCAGAGGGGATGCCTGTGCTTGTGAGAGGCCTTCTCCAGGAGACTGTGTGCCATGTTGAAGACAGCCACGTTGGCAAACCCCAGTCCTGGCATCTGCACCACCCTCACTGTCATGGGGAGGATCTCTTCGATGTCACTCAGGACTTGCCTGAGCTGGCGCAGCTGGGACAGGGCTGAGTCTGGCCTTAGGCCCGGCCTCCTGCCTCTGTGTGCTGCCCTGCCCGGCCTGCCCCTGGCTTCTCCCCAAAATGTCATTTTCATGAAGTCCTGGAGTCTGGGCCTGAAGTTCTGGGCCATTCCCCTGGGGGTCTTCTCCTCAGTTAGTGTTAAGGTGCCCCTGTACCGTGGTTGTGCTTCAGATGCCCATTCACTGACACCAACAATGGGGAAGACAGGCTGCTTGGGGCAGAACTTCAGAGGACATTTTTAGAAGATTTTTCACTTTCAAAAAACTTCCAGAGATTAAAAAAGATTTCAGGGACATGTAAGTGGAATTTAAAACCCACTGGACCTGGCTATTCCTCAGAATGCCAGGCTCAGCCTCCTTCCCACAGAACCCACAGGGGTCAGAGCTTCCTCTGACCCCAGTGCAGGGAAGACCTCAGGGCAGCCTGGGAGGAGGGCCCCAGGGCTGGAGTGGGGGCTGGTTTTGGTAAAAGGATGAGTGGGCCTTCCGGCATCTCCTCTTCACCTGTTCCAGCCTCCTGCCTCTCAACTGACCCCCGGCCCTCTCCTCTCCTCTTCCCTCCACACTCTGCTCTGCTCTCAGACCACCCATCTCTGGTCTTCCTCTTCCTTTGCTTTTAGCCTTTGGCTTCTCTGGCAGCCCCGACGAGGCCTCCCCCTGTGCAGTGCCCACCTCCTCATGACCTCCCTGATCACTCTCTTCCAGGTCTCCCAGGCCACAGGCCACATATGTGAATGGCGGCCTCCCAACCACACCACACATCAAGCAGGAATCCCTGCCCGATTACCAGGCCATGGCCGAAGCCCGCACACCCCTGTTGACTCACTGCCGGGCCCCACCAGCCGCTGGCCTGCACACGGATCTGGACCTCCCCAGCAGAGGGCTCGCCAACCCTGCACCTTCCTGCTACCTTCTGGGCAGTGAGCCCAGCTCTGGCCTGGGCCCGCAGCCTGAGGCCCACCCTCCTGAGGGCAGCTTGAAGCGCTGCTGCCTCTTGGGCCTACCCCCGACTTCCTCGGCCTCCTCCTCGCCTTGCACCTCCTCTGACGTCACCCCCATCATCCGTTCCTCCCAGACAGCTCTGGTCACCTGCGTAAATGGACTCCGGAGCCCCCCTCTGTCAGGAGACCTGGGGGGTCCTGCCAAGCGGGCCCGGCCCAGCCCTGTGTCCACTGAGAGCCACGAGGGCAGCTTGCAACTTGAAGCCTGCCGGAAGACGGGCTTTCTGAAGCAGGAGCCTGCGGACGAGTTCTCAGAGCTCTTCGGGCCTCACCAGCAGGGCCTGCCGCCTCCCTACCCTTTGCCTCAGTTGCCAGCTGGCCCGGGCCTTACAGGCCTGGGGCTGGGCCTGGCCAGCAGGATGGTGGCCGGGCGGCAGGCGTGCCGCTGGGTGGACTGCTGTGCAGCCTACGAGCAGCAGGAGGAGCTGGTGCGGCACATCGAGAAGAGCCACATCGACCAACGCAAGGGTGAGGACTTCACTTGCTTCTGGGCTGGCTGCGTGCGCCGCTACAAGCCTTTCAACGCCCGCTACAAGCTGCTCATCCATATGAGGGTGCACTCGGGTGAGAAGCCCAACAAGTGCATGGTGAGTCCCTGCAGGCTGCCCGGCCTCGCCCCAGCCCTGCAGAGCAGCGCCCATCTCACTCCCCTGGAAGGGTGCCCTGGGAGCTAGGTACAGTGCTGTGGGTGTGGGCCCTGGTCAAGATGGTCAGTGCCGCCTGGTGTGGTGGCACCAGGGGCTCAGGAGGCTGAGGCAGGTAGACTGTGAGTCCAAAGCCAGTTTCAACAACTTAACAAGGCCCGAGCAAGTCACGGAGATGCTGCCTCTAAATTAAAAAATACAAAGAAAAGGGCTGGGGATGTGGCTCAGTGGTTAAGCACCCCTGGGTTCAATCTCTGGTACCTCCAAAAAAAGGTGGTCAGTGCCACTGTCACAGCAAAACTTGGCAGTGCCACACTGTCCTCACCAGGTGCCCTGCCCCCGACCCTGAGGATCAGACATGCATTAGGTCTGCTTTAGCATGCTGCATGGCCTCCTAGGTCAAGCGGGCTTGGCCAGCCTCTCTCACGTGCACATGCTCCATGCTCCACCTGGGAGAGGCCTTGACAGGCAGGCAGTGACACTCCTTCAGCACTGGACCTTCACCTAGTGTCCTTCCCAGAAAGGCTCTTGGACCTCCTCCCAGAGCTGCCTACAGCTTGGCTGTCCTCAAGGAGCACTGGGTCCTCACAGGCACCTGGCCTGAGACCTCTGGGCCCCTAGAGAGGCTTTGGGCTAAGGTCAGGGGTCATAAGATAAGGCCCTGCAGAGCACCAGCTCTGGGAGGAGGTCCAGAGCTGGTGCTCTGCAGCTAAGGTTTCTGTGGAGAGAAAGCAAGACGCACGTGTTTGTATGCACACACATTCATGCACACACACACACGCACACACATTCATGCACACACACACACACGCACACACACACACACACACACACACACACACACACACACTGACTGCTGGCAGCTTGGCCTCTGGCCCTTCTGACTGGTCGTTTCTGTATTGTGCTCTCGCTGTGGTGGATATCTGTCACCAGAGGCCGGGAGCATAATATTAGTCCCTGATGCCCTCTGCCTGCCCCCAAGGCCCAGCTGGCCCTCCAAGAGAAGATCCTGCCTGGGAGCGGAAGGCTGGGCCTAGGGTGTGCTCCATAGAACAAGGAGCCTGGGCCACCCAGGCCACCGCTCAGTCTGGGCAGCAGCAGGGCTGGTCTGCAGGGGTCAGTGTTGTAGCCAAGGTTGATTTCTTCCAGGTCTGTGCACTGTCACTGTCTCTGGCCCCACCTCGTGGAGCCTTAGGTCTGGGAAGGAGCAGTGTCCCTCCCCCAGGGAGGCCAGGCAGGAGGCAGGAAGCTCTGGCAGGGCCAGCGCTCACCTCGCCTCAGGCCTGTCACCTGTGGGGCCATGAGCCAGGCATATACGGGGTCAGCTCTCCAGGCCTTGAGATGAGAAGGAGTTGATTTCACAGACAGGTGAGCGGCAGTGAGCCATCCGTGCCAAGGACAAGAGGAGGAGGGAGCCTGGTGTGTGGAGAGGAGGTGGGGGGGATGGGCTGAGCAGGCCATGGATTTGATTTGTCATCTGCCTTTGGGCTGAGAGTGTACAGGCGGGGGGCTGGTGACTGGCCAGGCTGGGGATGCCCAGTTCATTTGGGGTTTTAGAACATGTGGCTTGCCGGAACATGTGCCCCTGCTTGGGAGGCCATGACCAACAGAGAGTCCTCGGGCCAGGGCTGCTGGGAGGTGGTCTGGCCTTTCTCTCCCTGAGACCCTGGAGGGACAGCTGTAGTTCTCTGTCATGTGGGTGAGCCCACTGGTGTCTGCGAGGGCCTCAGTGGAGGCTACCTTGTCCCATGAACCCCAATATGATGTAGTCAGTGACCTTCTTGCAGTGGGGCCTCCTGTGTGGGGTCACAACATCCAGAAGTATCCGTGTTGGACATTGGGGGCCTCTAGATGATCTAGTCCCCACCCATTTTCCAGCTTGGGAAGTGGAGGCCCAGGGAGGGAGGCCCGGCGGGTCAGTGCACTCTCAGGATCTCTCTCCTAGGCCTGCGGGATCTCACCTGATTCCAGACTCCACAGGACACTTGGCTCCTGCCTGGCCCCGGGGACCCAGACCTGGACTGTCATATTTCCTGTCCTGGGGGACCTCACACTCAGGGATGGGTCCCTGAGCCATCAGGGACGAGGACCAGTGGCAGCCTGGGATGGAGTTTGCCTAGGTCCAGGGAGGGGAGGCCTGGCAGGCTTCCTGGAGGCGGTGGTGTCCAGGCTCCCTGGTGACTGTGTTTAGTCTTTACAAGGGTGCTGTCAAACCCAGGGGTTTTTACAGGTGAAGAAACAAAGTCCAGCCAGCCTCCCTCTTGCTCCTAGGTGAGCACTTGGTCTTGCCCTTTGGGATCAGGAGCACAGTGATGGTTACACTTGCAGGCAGTTGCTGAGTGCTGAGCGTGTGCAGGTGCTGTTCTAAGTGGTAGAACCACTGCCCTGCAGGATGATATCGTTAACCCCCATCTGCAGATGAGGAAACTGAGGATCAGAGAGATTGCTCAACAGGCCCTAGGTTACACAGCTAAAGACAATAATATTAGCAACAACAATAAAAAAAGGATCATTGTAGTAGTAGTGACAATAAAAATAAAGCCTGAAGTTACACAGCTAGTAACCATTGGAGTGGGATTTGAACCCACGTCTTTCAAAACGGCCATGCTCTTGTCCATAAATTTTCTGTTAATGATTCTCTGGAGCCTTAGGGCCGGCCCTGCTGGGTGCCACCATCTGCAGCTGGCAGCAGCAATCTCCTCCCACATCTTCCGAGGCCTCTCAGAGCCTCTAGGAGCCCCTCCTGCCTGCCATGGGGTGGGAGTGCTCTCCCCGCACGATGCTGGCACAGTAGGTGACCCAGGGCTGGGGCCCGCCCCCAGATAAGTACAATCTCCCTTCCCTGTGAAATTATTAATTTCTCATGACAGGCGTCTGCTACCATGTGCTGTAATAGACAAAGGAATTTTGGACCTGGAGCCTCTGGAGAACAGGAAATAGATGAGACATTTTGATTGAAGAGTAAATGGCCACTAAAATAGCAGTTAATCCTTTTATTATCTCTCCAGCAGCCGCTTCCACTGTTCTTTCATGAGGTAAGCTCCCTTCTCCTCATCCAGACGTAACACCCCAGCCTTGCAGCTGCTTTGAATTTAGACCGCAGAGTCTCTGCTCAGTACCAAGCAGGCCTCAGGGTGCTGGCAGCAGCCAAGCGCTCTGCCCGGCCGGGCACCTTAGTCCTTTAGCCAGGCCTGGACTGGGGACTCGGTGGCCCCAGGGGAAATGGTGCCGTCTGTCCCCCTCCCTCCCCGCTGTGCAGTCCACAGGAAGCTCCCTGATCTCTTTGCAATATCCTGTTGTGTTTCTTACGTTGCTTGAGATGTCTCAGCCTTATGAAATCCGGGGCTTCTTGTGCATTGCGATAACAAGGTTACATCCAACCCAAACACTGACGCGACGCCTCCAAGACGTCAGCTCTGAAGATTAGTCTCGTACTTTCTTAGGTTGGTTCTCCCAGAGGGCCAAAATTCTGATTGTGTGAGGCTGCAGAAAGGACCAGCCTGTGGAGGCTGCTCCTCTGCACACCAGGAGACAGAGGCAGAGGGAGAAAGGACAGCTGCTCAGAACCGTCCTTTTCCTATCCTGGGTTTTATAAATAACAAGAAGAAGGATCCCTTACTTTGCTACAGAATTTATCCAGAGCTCTGACCCTGCACGGGGAAGGTGTGGGCAGAGGTGCAAAGCCCAGGTCTGCATCCTACACACCTGGGTCCCGGCCTGGCTCTGCAGATTGCCAACTGGGTGACCTCAGGCAGGGGACCTACCCTCTCTGAACTAGAGGATACTTGACTGTAAATGGAGCAACAAGAGTATAGCCTTTTAGTGCTGTTGTTATGAGGGTTAAAAGAGATGATGCAGGGAAAGTGCTTGGGTAATTCTCTTCTTTCCCCATCACACTCTTTCCTATTGGTCATCTAAGGAGAGTAGTATAGTAGCCCTAGGAATGAGAACAGGGTTGTTTATAGAGATTTTTTTTCTGATAAAGAAACGGAGGCTCAAACCAGCCATTGGTGGCAGAGCCTGGACTCAAGTTGGTGAGTCCAGCAGGTTCTGCAGTGCTGGGCGGGCGCGGCCATCCGCGGGTGCTCCTGCAAGGGCAGCTCACCAGCTGTGCTGCCCACGTATCCTAGGCAGACCTGATCCTTGTGTCTTGTCTATTCAGCCATTTACAGGTGACTACTCTGCGCCCGACAGAGTCTGAACAGGGTGCCCGGTACTGGCATGGGGGCAGCAGTCAGTGGCACTGGGAGGGGGCTCTTGGATGTGTGTCCTTCTGTCTGGATGAGCAGCTGCAGCCTCAGGGCTGAACTCCATCCTGCCAAGCCTCCTCTATCCCCGAAAGTCAAAGATTGTTTTATCCAGGCTCCGTGCTAGTTGTTCTCCATTCCACCTCCAGAATAAAACTGCTCAAGTTGGGCGTGGTGGCGCACACCTGTAATCCCAGCAGCTCGGGAGGCTGAGGCAGGAGGATTGCAAGTTCAAGACCAGCCTCAGCAATTTAGTGAGGCCTTAAGGAACTACGCGAGACCCTGTCTCAAAATAAAAAATAAAAAGGGCTGTGGATGTGGCTCAGTGGTCAAATACCCCTGGGTTCAATACTCAGTACCAAAACCAAAACAACAAACAAACAGAAAAAATTCCAAGGCCTGGAGAGGCTAAATCCCAAGATCACAGTCTGCCCCAGGGAGGGAATTGATACCAACCAGATCTGCTGACCTGCCTGGCAGAGCTGTGAGCTCTGAAGAGTCTGAAGAGTCCAAGATCTATATTGCCTGGGGTGTTCAGAGGAGAAGAGGTTGAATGCATTCTGGGACACAGTATGTCCAGCTGTGAATCTGCAAGTTCATTTTACATAAGAAACTGTTTCTGATGTTCATGATCAAGTAGCCTTCTCTGCTTATCCAGCTCAGCCGCCTGCACCATTCCATGGGCCACACTGCTAT